GTATTTGCATGATTTATGTATTTATGTATTTTATTGTTTTATGATCTTTTTTAGTGCTGCACTATTTTTTATGATTAGAATACACTAGCTGCAAAGGTATCAGTTCAGAGTGTTGGCCGCTTTATTATATAGGTATCACTTCGAAATTTTAAGCGCAGGAGGAACTTTCCAGTTAATTTTGCGATTTTTGCGACGTATTGCATACTCTATCCCAGACTGTCAATGAGAAAGATAGAGTGGGACATAATATAAGAGGGAGAGATCGATTAGGGAGCAAAAGTAGGGAGACAACCGCTAAAGGATGGCAGGAAAGAGCTTCAATAGAAACCCAGAGGAGAGTAGATCCTATAGTGGTAGTGTAGGCCAATTGCGCAATTTGGGCGTCTTGGAAATATGCTTGAAGATTAGGATGGCCAATCTTTCCATGGGATTTTAAAGCGTATGTCTTCTGATTCAATCGAGGCCTTCAATTGTTCCAAACAAAATGAAGCACCTCTGCCTGTAGGAGCTGCAACTCACCTCTTGGAATTGGTATCGGTAAGGTCCTAAAAAAGTATAACAATCGAGGCAAAAATGTCATTTTAACAGAGTTGATCCTGCCAAACCAAGATATGGAGTAAGCAACCCAACAACAAACATCCCCCTTAAGTTGTTTGAAATGAGGGGGATAGTTCGCTTGGTATAGGGTCTCAATTGAAGCTGTCAAGTTATTCCCTAAATAGGACAAAGAGCTGCGGTCCATTGAAAGTCATATATAGTTCTAAGCTGTTGCTCCATTGAAGAGGGTAACGAGACATTAAGGGCTGTCATTTTTGAGAGTTTAAAGAAAGCCCAGAAAGGTCAGAGTAATGGCGCAAAATAGATAAGAGATTAGGTATGGTGGTTAGAGGGGATGTAACATACATGAGGACATCATCAGCAAAAAAAAACGCATTTATGTTCCTGTTGACCACAGTGGGCCCCGTGGATTCCGAGATTAGAGCGGATCGCCATAGCTAAGGTTTTTATGGCCAATGCAAAGAGCAGTAGGGAAAGTGGACAAGCTTGTCGAATTGGAAACACAGGACACTTGAGCCTAGGGAGTGTTGCATAATGACTGCAATAGTGTGAGAAATGCAGGACCAAAACCAAAAGCTCGCAACATAGTAAACAAATATTCCCAGGTTAAGCTATCAAAAGCTTTATGGAGGTACAAAGAAAGAAGCAACAACTCCCAAGAGAGAGGGGCATCCCAATAAGAGTGAACAGCAGAAATCAAAGCTATGGACCTGCAAATCTGATCCAACATTTGGAGACCCAATATGAATCCTGATTGGTCTTTGTGAACATACTGTGGCAAAAAGGAATTATGACGCTGGGCCAAAAGTTTTTTGTTAGGATTTTCAGGTCACAATTTATTAGCAAAATAGGCTGATAATTAAGGATATCTGTAGCGTCCTTATTAGGTTTAGGGATAACGCTAATATATGCTTTATTTTCATCCAAAGGAATCAGATTGTCTGCTTCAAGGAATTGAAGTAAAGAGCCATATGGGGGAGAAGTTCTTCAGAGAAAGTTTTTTAGTAAACATTCGGTAAACCGTCGCGGCTCGGGGACTTATGTGACGTTAGCTCTTTTAATAACTTTACCAAGCTCCTCGCTAGTTATACAGTTGTGGCCAAAATTATTCAACCCCCAATGCTGTAAAGGGGTTTAGGGACTATAGTGTACATTTGGAATTGTATTCAGAATCAAATCCTACAAGGACGTTGTGTGAAAACTACCCAAATGCAACTAAAATGACATCAATTGTTTATGTAAGTACAGTAGTAAATGGTTCTTATGTGGTTTCTTCATTGCCACAATTATTCAATCCCTTAAAGACTACCACTCTGAAGAACAGAGGTTCATACAGGTGCTTTCCATCAGGTATTGAAAACACCTGTGGATGTCACCGAGCAGCAATCAAGCATAATAAGACACCAATTAGGCAGCTTTAAAATGACTGAAATACTCAGCTCCTTCTAGACATTTACTGGTGTGGCCAATTACAAACATGGTGAAGGCAAGAGAATGGTCCTTGAAGACAAGAGAAGAGGTGATTTCTCTTCACAGGAAGGGCAATGGCTATAAGAAGATTGCAAAGATGTTAAACATACCAAGAGACACCTTAGAAGCATCATTCGCAAATTCAAGGCAAAGGGCACTGTTGAAACGCTACCTGGTCGTGGCAGAAAGAAGATGCTGACTTCGACTGCTGTGCCTACCTGAAGCGTAAGAGTGGAGAGAAGTCCCCGTGTGAGTTGCTGAGGAACTGAGAAAAGATTTGTCAGATTGGGTACAGAAGTTTCAGCCCAGACAATAAGACGCACACTGCGTAATGAAGGCTCCGTGCCAGAAACTCCCATATACCCCCTTGCTGTGCTCCAAAGAGGGTAAGAAGAGTAAGGACTGCATTTATGCCAAAAGCCATGTAAAGACAAACCACAAAAGTTGTGGGTAGTGTTCTGTGCGACTGATAGAAACAAAATTAGTATGTTTGGGCCCATGGATCAACGCTATGTTTGGATCGGAGGAAGAACAAGGCCTATGATGAAAAGAACACAGTTGCCTACTGTGAAGCATGGTGGAGGGTCAATCATGCTTTGGGGCTGTTTTGCTTCTGCAGGTACAGGGAAGCTTCAGCGTGTGCAAGGTACCATGAATTCTCTTCAGTACCAGGAGATATTGGATGGAAACGTGATGCAGTCCGTCACACACCTGAGGCTTGGGAGACGTTGGACCTTTCAACAGACAATGATCCCAAGCATACCTCCAAGTTAAGCTATAGAGCATGGTTGCAGAGGAAAAGGCTGGAACATTTTGGAGTGGCCATCGCAGTCACCAGAGTAAATCCGATTGAGAACCTCTGGTGGACTGCAAAAAGAAAGCATTTGCAGTGCGCCGCCTAAGAATGTGACTGAACTGGAGGCCTTTGCCCATGAAGAATGGCGAAGATAGGAATTAGATCGCTGCAAAAGTTTTTGTGTCAAGCTATGCTTCAGGTTCAAAAGCTTTATTAACTGTAAAAGGATGCTGTACTAAGTACTAAGATTGAATGTCACTTGGGGTTTAGGGATTGAATAAAACTGATAATGCTGTGAGCACAGAAAAGACATTTGTGCTTTATTTCATTATAAGTAAATGTTATATTTGTCTGACCTACAAGTGCCTCTTTAATGTAAATGTAAGCAAGATGACTGAATGATCAAAAGCAATGTCAAACTGGCCAAAACACTCAATTATGTGGGGGTTGAATAATTTTGGCCAAACTGTAGTATGTTCCGTAAGTTCCCTGTGGGCTTTGGCAATGGATGGAAGCTGCTAGGAACCCAAAAAATCTTGATGCATAAAAGGCTCAACAGGCTGGGGTTGACTGTACAAAATAGCAAAGAAATTATTACATTCCTAAAGGATCTTCTGAGGATCTTGTGAGAAATGACATCCCGAGAGCCGAAGCTTAGGAAGCACCGAATAAGTATGCTTGGGGGAAAGTTTACGTGCTAAGAGAAAACCCGGTTTGTCTCGCCACTTAAAGAATTTATGGTTCATCCATCGTAGCTGTTTTTCCACCTTCGTGGTAAGAAAGATTAAGTTCTGAATGAGCCTGTTCCACCTTAAGTAACAAGTCCGAGGTTGGAGCAATTTTGTGTTGGGCTAATAAAGCCTCATATTCCTTGGTTTTGGCAGAGGTCAACACTTCGCGAGAATATTTTCGTCTAGAGGATAGTTGGATAAAAAAAAAACTCTAACTATATGGGCTGCCCAGATAGTAGCAGGGGTCGTGTCTTTTGCTTTATTAATGGTAAAGTAAGAGTTCAAGTGATGCACTACTTTGAGGCGGATTAACTCAGTGCTAAGTAGGGACTCGTTCAATCGCCAATGTGGCTTGGCAAGATTGGAAGTTAAATTAGAGAGTGTTAGCAGCATCGGGTCATGATCTGACCAGGGTATCGATACGATTTTAGCCGAACGCAATTTGGGCAGCAACTCCGTAGGTAGAAAGATGTTATCTATATGCGAATAATGGTTTTGAGCTCTAGGAAAATGAGAATAGTCTCTAGAAGTAGGATTGGCCTCATCTCCAAGCATCTATCAAATTACAGTGAAACAAAAGTTGTGCAAATGCGTGACTTTGTTTCAAAGAGGATTTAAGTTTGGGTGTTTGCGATTTATCAAGCGTTTGGTCTAAAGGCTAAATTTGAGTCCCCCACTAAAATAACATTGCCCTCCAATTCCAGAGATAAAGATTGAATTAGGGATTAAAAAAAATAATTTCACGTTAGGGCATAATAAATCAGAAAAGTCACTAAATTTCTCCCTAAGTAGCCTTTAACTAATAGATATTGCCCTTCTTTGTCTCGTATCACTTTAGACTCAGTAAAGAATAACCGCCGTGCTAGACAGAGCACCACCCCTTGTTTCTTTTCAGATGAGTTAGCGAAAAAGCATACAAGGAAATCCCTATGAATATACCTAGGTGTGAAAGAGGAAGCAAAATGGGTTTCCTGTAGCTTGACTATATAAGCTCTTAGGGACTTATAACGACAAAAAAAATCTTAAGATGCCTAGAGGGGGATCCCAATCCTTGAACAATATGAAAGAGCAAGCAAACAACGCTACTATTAGATCTTAAGGTGGACATTGAAAAAATTCAAAGTAGTGATGGTGAGACCCACACACCCACCCATATGGGGTTTCAAGTATCCAGAACCGAAGAAAAAATCCCGAGATGACCCTCAAATAGCCAATATGAAAAAAAATAAGGAAGACAAGGAAAGAAAAGGAAAGAAACAAAAGACGCTGAGCCAAGAAAATGGCTAGCGTCAGTCCGAGTGGCAACACAATAATATGCGGCATAAAACAGTAGAATACCAAATATCCCAGGCACAATGGGGAGAGTCTTTCGATTAAGGAGAGCGCATAGACTCTTGCCGGTGCCATGGGGTCTGTAAGAGACATGTACAATAAAGGTACCTAACCAGGGGCGGACTCACAATTCATGGGGCCCCCGGGCAATAGGGGATCATGGGGCCCCCTGTCCTTGCCCACTCACAATTCATGGGGAACCCGGGCAATAGGGGATCATGGGGCCCCCTGTCCTTGCCCACACTCAAAACACACCCAAAAAAAGGTACCAGGGGCATTTCATGGGGCCCGGCACTGACCCCGGGCCCTCAGGCAGTGCCCGAGTGCTCAAAAGGTCAGTCCGCCCCTGTTCCTAACACAAGAAAAGCAGAGTAGCTGGCCTGTACACAATCTAGCTAATAAACAGATAAAGGCAATATAACCAGAGATCACAACATACGCAATAACAATTAAAAACAAAAAAAAAAAAACAAAGACGGAGGCCAATGTCCCATAACAGGACCACAGAGAGGTCCCCACCAAATATAAATCAGCTAGTAGCCAGCAGAGTCCTCAAGGAACCTGACGTGGAGTAGCAAGTTTCTTCTTCCTGGGAGAGGGGGACACAGAGGCAAACGTGGGGGAGGAGGACCATCAGCTTTGGATTGGTTCCGGTCAAGGGGCTAAGGGAAAGAAAGCCCAAGCTCAACAAAAGTTTCTGTCCTTCAGAGATTGTAGAAAAGATGTAGAATTTGCCATTGTAAGCAAAACGGGTATTTCCATCAATAACGAATATCCCTTTGAATTAAAGGTGAAAGCAACAGTTTGAATGCCCTCCGTTTTTGTATAGTAGCTTGAGAAATGTCTGCAAAGACTTGAATCTTGTACCCATCGATTTCCAAATCTGGATATTATCTGGCGTATGGCATCCCCGACTCTTTAATTTTGAAAAAATTAGGTTTGACAATTACAGTATGTCTCAAGGGGGCCCTCCAGTTTTAAGGGGACCAGAGGTCTATGGATACGATCTATTTCTGTGTGGATTTTGTCGGCATCCGGCACTGCTAATGGTATAAGGGAGTGGGCAACTGAGACAATATCCTTGACCGTTTTTAGTAGGTCTCTAATCCGGAAAATTGTACCGGCGGGCATGGTTCTCAAGATCATCTATTTCTGTATAGGCTTCGTCCAGGCGGTCTTGTAGGTCAGCAATCCTGTTAGAATTTTGAGACACTCTGTGAACTGTATCATCAGCTTTAGATTCAATGTTCTCCAGGAGGTTTCCAATCTCCTTGAAATCTTGCTTTAGGTCAGAGGCCAGTTTAGTGGTAGCTTTTTCCAATTCCCTCTGAAGTAAATCAGCAAAACGAGCAATAAGCATGGAGTCCCCTGAGGAGTGCGGGGGCACAGATGGATAAGTAGGAGAGTTCCACTGGACTGTCTGTCACGAGCTGAATCATGACCACTAATTTGGCTGGTGAATATGTCAGCCATTTCGCTGGCTAGCAGGGAAGAAGCCTGGAAATCATGGCCTGGTGATAGGGCCGCAGCCTGAGGAGGGGACCTGGCAGGGCTAGAGAGGGACCCAGAGGGAGAAGAATGGACACTCATGTGAGCCAGGGAGCCATCACTGTGTGTCCCAGGACTGGAGGAGAGGAGTTGGGCCTGCTGCGGTGGAGGCTGCTTTCCCTCTGCAGATGAAGAGCTCCAGGAGCCGATGCCACCCCCTCCCTTCCTCATTGTGGCAGCACGGGATCCGCCCGCGGATTTTACAGCCGGTTAGATGGACATCGGAGGTCCCCCACCTCCTCCACAAGTCAATCAGGTGAGTGGCAGGGAGGATTGGGGTCGAGAGCCGCTAATTTATCCCCCTGGGGTGCCGGGAATGTGTGGAGTAGTTAGATCTGCATCCACCCCGGCTACCCGCACATGCGCTCTCCCATGGAAATTAATTAGCACCAAAAAATGATACTTGGTTCTGTATTCTCTAAAAGGAGCAATAGGGAATGGAACCAAGTGATGATGCTCAGAGGTGGGTAGGAGGGGGCGGAGACAAGAAGTGACTCAGAAGGGGGGAGTTCCTACACCTGTTTTTTGAGAAAAAAATCCCTGTGTGTGTGCGTATATATATATATATATATATATATATATATATATATATACTGCTCAAACATAAAAAAATAAAGGAACACTTTGAAAACACATCAGATCTCAATGGGGAAAATATCATGCTAGATATCTATACTGATATGGACTGGGTAATGAGTTAGGAATGTAAGGATGCCCCATCGTTTGATGGAAATGAAAATTATCAACCTACAGAGGACTGCATTCAAAGACATCCTGAAAATCAAAGTGAAAAAAAATATGCAGCAGGCTAGTCCATTTTGCTAAAATTTCATTGCAGCAACTCAAAACGGTACTGAGTAGTTTGTATGGCCCCCACGTGCTTGTATGCATGCCTGACAATGCTGGGGCATGCTCCTAATGAGAGGACGGATGGTTTCCTGGGATATTTCCTCCCAGGTCTGAAATAGGGAATCACTGAGCTCCTGGAAAGTCTGAGGTGCATCAGATGGGCCAAAACATGATATCCCAGAGGTTTTCTATTAGATTTAGGTCAGGTGAGCGTGGGGGCCATTCAGTGTCATGCACCAGGAGGAGCCCAGGACCCATTGTACCAGCGTAGGGTCTGACAATGGGTCCAAGGATTTCATCCCGATACCTAATAGGAGTCAGGGTGCCATTGTCTAGCCCAGCAATGGGCAAACTACAGCCCGCGGGCCGTATACGGCCCGGCGGACCTTTTAATCGGCCTGCGGAGCTAGGCTCCCGCTAGGCTGCTCTCACAGTCTGCCCTGAAGACCAGTGTAGCATGAAAATCTGTCTCCTATGAGGATCTGTCCCCCTCGACGTATCTGCGCATGTGCCGGAGATCGCCGATCGGCTGCTAATGCCTGAAACTGGCACATGCGCAGATACGTCGAGAGGGACAGATCCTCATAGGAGACAGATTTTCATGCTACACCGGAACGGCGCGGGAACACGGCGAGAGGAACGCGCGGAGCAAAGGTAAGTGAATTGACACGGGGGGGGGGACTTGGGGACTTAATATGGGGGATGAATTACTATGGGGGATGAATTACTATATGGGGGATGAATTACTATGGGGGATGAATTACTATGGGGGATGAATTACTATATGGGGGATGAATTACTATGGGGGATGAATTACTATGGGGGATGAATTACTATATGGGGGATGAATTACTATATGGGGGATGAATTTACTATGGGGGATGAATTACTATGGGGGATGAATTACTATGGGGGGAATTACGAATTACTATATGGGGGACGAATTACTATATGGGGGATGAATTACTATGGGGGATGAATTACTATATGGGGGATGAATTACTATGGGGGATGAATTACTATATGCGGGATGAATTACTATGGGGGATGAATTACTGTGGGGGATGAATTACTATATGGGGGATTAATTACTATGCTTACTATGGGGGAATATTACTATACTTACTATGGATGACACATACACATCATTCATCTACTCTTGGTCCGGCCCCCGGGTCCAATATATGAACCCATTGCGGCCCTCAAGTCAAAAAGTTTGCCCACCCCTGGTCTAGCCTGTAGAGGTCTCTGCGTCCCTCCACAGATATGCCTCCCCAGACCACCACTGTCCCACTACCAAAACAGTCATGCTGAATGATGTTATTGGCAGCATAATGTTCTCCTTGGCTTCTCCAGACCCTTTCACATCTGTCACATGTGCTCAGGGTGAACCTGCTCTCATCTGTGAAAAGCACAGGGTGTCAGTGGTGAACCTGCCAACTCTAGTGTTCAATGGCAAATGCCAATCAAGCTCTATGGTTCCGGGCAGTGAGCACAGGGTCCACTAGAGGACGTTGGGCCCTCAAGCCACAATGATGAAGTCTGTTTCTGATTGTTTGGTCAGAGAAATTCACACCAGGGGCCTGATGGAGGTCATTTTGTAGGGCTCTGGCAGTGTTCATCCTGTTTCTCCTTGCACAAAGGAGCAGATACAAGTCCTGCTGATGGGTTAAGTACCTTCTACTGCCCTGTCCAGGTCTCCTAGAGTAACTGCCTGTCTCCTGGAATCTCCTCTATGCTCTTGAGACTGTGTTGGGAGACACAGCAAACCTTCTGACAATGGCACGTATTGATGTGCCATCCTGGAGGAGCTGGACTGCCTGTGCAACCTTTGTAGGGTCCAGGTATCACCTCATGCTACCAGTAGTGACACTGACCCTAGCCAAATGAAAAACTAGTGGAAAACAGTCATAAAAGATGGGAAAATAATGTCAGTGGCCTTCACTTGTAAAACCATCCCTGTTTCGGGGGTTGTCTCATTGTTGCCCATCTAGTGCACATGTTGTTAATTTCATTAATACATTAATACTGGATCCAGGCCACTGACTCTACCTCCCCTGCTGCACTCTCCTACGGAGGTCTCACCTGGACCCACTCACCCAGGCCCAACGGTTGTAAAGGTGGTGGGGTTGGTCTGCTCCTGTCACCGCAGAGCACCTTCCGAGTCCTCCCAAACCTCCCCTCCCTATCCTTCTCCTCCTTCGAGGCTCACTGCGTCCGACTATTCTCCCCAACCCCCCTGAAGATTGCTGTGATATACCGGCCTCCTGGATCCATATCCCGCTTCCTGGATGACTTTTCCTCCTGGCTACCCTTCTTCCTCTCCTCTGAGCTACCCACCATCATCCTTGGGGATTTCAACATCCCTGTCAACCTCGACAACCCAGCCACATCCCATCTCCTCCACTTAACCTCCTCCTTTGCACTTGCACAGTGCATACAATCCACCACCCACTCCCTTGATCTTGTCTTCTCCAACCGCTGCGCTCCCCACAACCTCACTAACACCCCCTTCCCTCTCTCTGACCATAACCTGATTACCTTCTCTATCTCCTTGTCCTCCAACACCTACCCCTCCAAATGTCACACTACTACCAGCCGTAACCTCCGCAACCTTAACCCTGCCCCCCTCCACTCTGCAGCTGATCAACTCCACGACAGCATCCTCCCCCTGTCCTGCCCCGACTTGGCTATCACTGCCTACAACAATGCGCTGTCAACAGCCCTTGACTCACTAGCGCCTTTAACCACACGCAACATCAGACCCCGACCGCTCCAGCCCTGGCAGACTGATCACACCAAAACTCTCAAACGACACAGTCGTGCTCTGGAGCGACTATGGTGCAAAACCAAATCCCAACAAGCCTTCACCCGCTACAAATCTGCCTTCCACACCTACACCTTCTCCCTCCACGCAGCCAAACAAGCCTACTTCCTGACCCTCATCAAGGCCCTC